CCTAGCACAATGGAAGGAGTTCAGTTGAGCGAGAGAGGAAGAATATACCATGTCTTCAAACATATACGAGTACCATTTCTCAGATAAATATAGCATAGCTAAGCTCTCTGTGTGCTTATTATCTCTTACATGTAACTTAAAAGGTGAAGAAAATGAAATGCAATGGTTTAAAAGGTCTTTTTCTGGGTCTTTTCCCTTCCAGCTCCTGCTAGGTTGCATTTTACATAAATCTGAATGACATGCAGTAACATTAAGCATCAAGTTAAATCAATGGAATGATTAATGCTAACAGGCAGCCCAAAGCAATGTGCACAAAGGATAAAAGCATATCTGAGAGATGACTGCAATTTTTAATTAAAAAATAATGGATTGGTGGTTAATTAAGAGTTGACTGTAGATTTACTAAAAAACCTCAATGATTAATGATAGTTAATGTTTGAGGTTTCAATATACAATTTGTCAATCAGTTTCAAAGAGATATTTTAAAAATTAAACTGTTAACAATGTATGCATTGCCAAACTAAATATAGGATAAATGCTTCTGCCTGAGGACAGATAGGAACTCACAGGGAGGGAAGGAGGATAGAAACTGTAAAGAAAAATTGATGTTAATCAGATTCAATGAGCAGATATATATGAAAGGTTTTAAAACAGTGTCTGGTACATGATAAGTGGCAAAAATTAAGATGAAACTGAAATAGACCTTTATATGGAGAGAGACACCAACATTTCGCATCACAACATTTAGCGTTTGTAACAAAAAGTTACAAAGTAATTGTAGTTTCTATAATGGCTTACTACTAATTATCCATTTTGCAAATACAGAATAAGGTTCACTTAAAATTTTAAACAGGGCCATGTATTTTCATTTTTTACAAGCTTTCTTCTCCTGAAAAGCTACAAGAAAAGTACCTTAGTATTTGGACATTCCACAAAAGCTCCACAAATACCTGGTCAAATACTATGCTGGAATTAAAGAAGTCTCCTTCACAGGTTAAACATTCTTTGCACTGAATTGAACTCTACAGTTTGGCCATTATGATTATTCTCCTTAACCACGCCATCAGTTCATTGCAGATGCCCTGACGAAAATAAGTGTAAAACCTCTAAAATCATTCTCCCAGGTTTTATAACTAACTACCTTAAAATGTTCTTAATGTTATGCTGTAATAACACAATATCATACCTTTTGGATTTCTTCAGGTAATGCATGCATGGGGATGTGACGATCCATAATTTCCCAAAATGTGAGTTCTCAAGTAAAATAATCTAAAAACATTGATAGCAATAATCAGAATTGAAACAATGTGAATAAAATTCAAATTAAAAGATTTAAGTTCTTGGGAGTACTCAGAGATGAATGGTGATAACTTTCAACAGTTATTTCATCAACTCAATGTTAAAAGGTACAAACAACTGGGCTTTTCTCAGTTATTAGGCCACTAGAATGGAAAAGATAACAGACAACTTAGAAAACTTCTCTTTCTTTATAACTCTATAGTCTAATTGTGGTTTCTGTGGTGGCTTACTACTAATGATTTGTTTTGCAAATACAGAATAAGTATCACTTAAAATTTTAAACAGGCCCATTTATTTCTGTTCCCTTATAAAAGGGGGGGTTCAAAAACTTAACAGAAAAATATCTAAATATAGTAGTTTAGTTCAGCAAATAGGAAAAACAATTGTGACACAAATGCTGGTTTAAAGGATGAAGTATGAAAAAACAGTTATCAAATTAAATATCATCTGCAGGCACTGAAGATCAGTGCATCAGAGCATGAGTAGTGTTCAAGATGAACATTTACATAATTTTATGCAGATATTTTACTTTAATAGATTTTCATTTTCTTTTTTAAAAGATTTTATTTATTTATTTGACAGAGATCACAAGTAGGCAGAGAGGCAGGCAGAGAGCAGGAGGGAGAAGCAGGCTCCCCGCCGACCAGAGAGACCCACGATCCCAGGACCCTGAGACCATGGCCTGAGCCGAAGGCAGAGGGTTAACCCACTGAGCCACCCAAGTGCCCCAGATTTTCATTTTCTAATAAAAGAACTCAACATAAAATTATATCACTACTTTGTTATAACTACACAAGGTGAATGAAGCAAGTACTTTTGGGGTTTTGTTTTGTTTTTTTTAATCTTTCCCAACTATGGAGAGAGAATACACAGTCCAGTTTTGTAAGAAATGTTTATATATACATCTAAGGAGTGAGGAGTAGAAAGAGGGCAGCAGAGTATGAACAGGCACAATTCCATAGCAAGGAAGAAAGTCTGAGGGCCAGGAGTGGTAGAGATGGAACAACCTAGGAGTTCAGAAAAGAAACCTGTCTTATCTTTCGGGTGGGAATTGGAAACTATGGAAGGCTTCCTGAAGCCGTTTGCTTTTGATCAGAGCATGATTTTGACACAAAGATAGACTGGAGATGGAGTACTCTATCAGAGACAGCAACCTCAGCCACTACAAGGTCTTAGGGAAATTGTAGTTGACAAAAATTTCTGTAGTAGCAGTATTTTTTTTTTAATCATGCAACCATTGTTGGAAAGAAAATTCCTCATCCCCTGTGTTAACACAAAGCCTGCTGTTTTAATGAGATGCTTTTTAAAAACAAATAACTAATGAACTGTCTTCCCATATAAAGATAATGTATGTATGTGGTAAAGTTAACTGGAGTTAACTGGAGTTAACTATGAGGGTAAAGTTAACTGACATAGCTAACATAGGCCCACATAGCCAAGTACATAATAATCTGATGTTCAGCAGACTGTCTCTGATGTGGCAAGAGCTCATTATTCACAGAAGGCTCATTATTCTCTCTTCTGTCATTTTACAATGGACTCACCATCAGTAAAATAAGATGGCATCACCTTAATTAAACTCTGGTGGGAGTAGAATTTTTCCTAAAATTACCAACGAAATCTGCTTTTTAAATTCCACCCATAAAATTATTTGAGAGTATGAATCTAGTGACAGTATAAACAAGGGACCAGTGGAACAGTTTTTGTTTAGTACCCTCTTTATCTCTAAAGCTATTCCAACTTTGTAGCCTTATTATAGCAAGTGGGGAAATTTGGCAGGTTCTGATTACTGAAGAATTAAATACTGCCAACCCAGAAAAATCTCTCCACAATGCAGAAAGAAAACAGTCTTATTACTGAATAAGCATTTAACTAGATTGTGATGCACATCAGAGCCAATCTGCTAATGAGACTACAAAGATATAAAGTAACCCCACTTTTTTTATATAGCTATGTAGATACAATCCATTACATACATCTTCTCAAGAGAAACGGTAACTCGTTCTCAGTACAATCTGTTATACAATTTCATAGTTTGTTTTCAATTTACCTAGTAATTGAAGAAGCTATCTGCGCTAGTTAATTGCGACTGTTTTAAGGAATACAAATCTCTATGACAGAGTCCTTAGTACTGATGTAAGGAGCCTAGGTGAAATTCCCAAGGTGACAGGAGATAGCTTCCTTGATGTTTACATTTTAAAGAAATTTTCCTCAAGTCCTCAAGAAAAATTGAGTCTTTTTAAAAATTGCATAGGTATTAAAGGAACAGTGTAAACATTCACAAATACAAAGTTTCTCAAGAAAGGGAGGGGGAAAGTCTCTTTCCCCTTTGGCAACACGGCAGTTTTTTAAATTATTACTTCACTCTTATATTATTTTGCATGTTTTATGAGGTCAGTTTCTTTTATCCTTGCACATTACATACATGCAGGCTGCCCTTGAGCAAGAGGTGCGGTGAAACTGGCAGCAAACACTAAGTATTTGTGAACCTGCTCTCTTAACAGGATCACGAGGAAGATGTCGAAAACACAGGAACGAACTGGATTGTTCACTTCCGATTCCCTTCCTCACAGCAGTGTCACGTTGGGCCATTAACTCACGTTCAGCTTTCGGGCCCTTCCGTAAACACACCCTTCCCCTGGTGTGAATCACCCGCAAACGAGGTCACGTTCAGGTGAAACGAAGTTCACGTTCTAAGACATTCCTGAAGCGGCAGGATTTTCCAAATAGAAACCAACTGCAAGGCCAGCTAAAACTGCTGGATTTTGAAACCCGTCCCCTTCTAACCCCGTACCCTCGGGACCTGCTGTGGCAGGAGGAAGGAGGAGGGTGCAGGGCGGAGGACGAGCTGCGCTCTCGGTAGAGGACACCGGGGCCAAGCGGGCTCACGGAAGCTGTGCAGGGGCCGCGAAGGGGTGCGGGGGCGACGCTCGGGGCCACATTCCCTCGCCGCGGCGCCGCGGCTGAGCTTTCCGGCCCTCTCCCCCGGTGTCAGCACGCCTCCGCTCCGGAACTGCGTCCCGAGGACTGGGTAGGCCGGGGGACTCAAGGAAGTCATTCACTGTCTCACCTAGACCTCCACTTTCGCGGTCTCCCGGGAGACCAAGCTACACGTCGGCTCGACGTCAGGGCGCAGTGACGTCACGGCCCACGCCGTTCGCCAACGCAGAGCGGGGCTCCCTTGCCACGCCTCGGGCCCCACGCGCCCGGAGAAAGCCGGAAAGCTCGCGACGGGGTTTGCGGGGAGTGAGGAGGGGGCTTGTCTTATACCGAGTGCTGTGTGAGGGAAGGAAGGGGCGCAAAGGACAACGTGGGGGAGGGCGGGCTGGAGTCCTAGTAGAAGCTGCAGAGAAGAGAAATGTCCCTAGGTTCAAGTGGGTTGGAGAGAGACAGCCTGCAGTGGTTGCCTAGGTCCCTGTACCTCTGATCCCTGGCTCTAGAGCCCGCAAAGCGGCCACAGCAGTGGGCAATTATAATACTGAGCGCCAAGAGGAGAGAAGCCAGTTGAAGAGGTCATGAGTATAAAGGGAAGCTCTGGCCATTGGCATTGCCACAAGGGCAATTGGGAAGGCGTTAGAATTTTCATAGCCCAAAGTACTCGGGATGTAGTAAGGCTCATTCAGAAGGTACCTTGAGACTGCCCTCGTACACAAGTTATTTGCAGGAGGCTGCTTAGCTTTGCACGTGACTTACTTCTCTTCCTTCATAAAGCAAGTGTTTATTAATGACCTACTACTAAAAGACAAGCACTGCATACCGGAATGGGGTGATTCTGTGACTAACGCAGGTAGAGACAGCTATTGGTGTGATTTTCAAGTGACTCATCAATAGTCCCAATCTCGCCTTTCCGAAGATTATATGAGGTCAAAAATGCAGCTCTTACAAGAAAAATCATATGTGGCTCACTAGCATGGAAAGAGACTTGTTACTTTCGAATGAAGTAAGGTTTAAGAAAGAGAAAACTAGTTCAAACCTATAGATTTAGGGGTGACCAAACCATGCAGAGCAGTGCTGAAATGGTAGTCAAACTGCTGGTGAGAGCTGTTTATCAATGAAAATGACAGCATGAAGTAGTGAACACTCCTAAAAGCCTTGTTCCTCAAAGTCTTAGAGACAGATATACCCTGTACACTTAACCTGGCAGATATTTCTGCCCCAATGCCTACCAACGACTTTGAGTTTCCACCCCCTCAAAGAGCGTTTTTCTCCATTTGAAAAAGGTAAGCAACAAGAGGACTGAAGAGGTTAAGGGGAGTAGAGGACAGCCAACAAAGTGATCAGGTAGGGCATGCTTATGAGAAGTGCAAAGGACTTTCAACAGCTGTTTATGTTCAGCATGTTTCTTTGAGGGTCAACGAAGGCAGGATTGTTCTCAGTAATTGGGTTTACAAATGAGGCACAAAAAAAGGAGTTCAGCTAGGTCCACTGAGTGCTTTATCTGGAACAGAAACTGTTCATCTAAAGCAAGGTGACTTTTCTGAGGCTAGTTTGGCTAGTAATATGGTTATCACCAATAATATTTATTGAGTACTTCTTGTATATGATAAGGAAAGGAAACACCTTAAGGGTGGAAGAAGATACAGCTGAAAGGCTGTAATTCATTCTGTGATTTAATTTCATCTGTCCTTACTCATCTCTACATAGCCTTGAGACCAGTTTTCCTCCCACCATAAGCGTCCACACCACAAACGTCCCTTAGACCTGCACTGTCCAATTAGATAGCCACGTCTGACTAATTAAAATGAAATTTAAAAATTCCTTTATTGTACTAGCCACAGTACTAGTGTTCAGTAGTCATATATTGCCACAGCATCAGACTACCCATATTTAGAACATTATCATCATCAGAGCAAGTTCTGAACAGGGAGCAGTAGGCTCAGTAAGAATTTCAAGGATAAAGAAAGTTAATAAATTGTGAAGAATAGCGTTTGTTAAAAAGTAGCAGTGAAAGGCATTATCCCTGAAGACCACAGCACAGATGAAGGGTTATGACAAGTTGTTACTTTTTAAAAAAAAGAAATCCAATAAGCCTCTCCTCAGGGTCTTGTGTGTTTATTCTTGGCTCTCTTGATCTCAATCTCTCCTTCTCTCCCTCTGAATTTCTTTTCTTTTTTGTTTTTCCACTACTTTTCTTCACCCCATTATTGGCTAACTGGAACTGAAGTAGAATTTAAAATATTCCTATCATTAAACATACTGAATAAAGTTTTGTGTTTTCTGTTCTTAAATTTTAAATCATGTAAGTTTCACTTTTCACTGTGACTTTATAAAGTAATCCAGTGATAATTAAGTTATTTTTCAACTTCTATGAGACCCTTTATTATTTGTTTTCCCCTGTGGGTCAGTGACCCCTGAGAGAAAAAAATATATTCCCTGGTTTTGGAAGAAGAGTCTACAGAGCCTAAAGTTTAATCTAAAGTGACTAAAAGCTTTCCACAATGTCTGTAGACCTTTGTGTTGTAGTAGTAATATTTATGAGAACACAGTGTCTGTGCTTTTGTTTCTATCAAGAATTTACCTAAGATATTGATCCATCAAGGCACTGTCATTCATCCCATTCATTTTGGTAATAGTATAACCCCCTTCCCTCCCTCCATAAAAAGCATATGGAAGAATAGGTACTTCGGCAGCAAGTCTGATGAAAATATCAGGAAGTCTCCCCAAGGTTGCTAATTTCAAAGTGAGTTCAGAACTGTACCAAAAGGAGCATGGCAAAATTATAGTTACCCAGCTTTATTTTTATCTTGTTAACCAGAACACAGTTCCGTACTAATACCTCAAAAGTTTGAATAAAACAGTTGCAATACAGGCCTCCCAGGTGGAAGCAACCATGGATTTCACTGCTATTTCTGGGATCTATCCAATGCAATTGCAGAATTTTTAAAAAACTAACATTTATTGGGCTCTTTCTGTGTGCCAGTCACTTCATACACAATGTCTCATTTATTGAGAAGCCTTCCAAACATAACTCAGTCAGATCCTTCTTATTGTTTACTTTTACCCAAATGATGGAAATGGCCAAGGGCAAGGTCCAACAGGTGAACACTGAAGTGTACTTGGAGTGAAAAGTATAAGCAGAAGCACCTGGGCCTCATGTATTGTGTTAGTTGACTCTGTTGGGCAGTGAGTACCCAGGAGGCATCAGCCTACTGTGGAGTAGTAACACATGTAAATACTCAAAAAGTATTGAATTCTGGAAACTTAACTTTGTCTTAGACTTACCTTTTTTTATAACTTTTCTGATATAGCTTCCAGTTTTCAAAAAAAGAGGCCAGCTACAAGTGACTACTTGCTTTGTTGTACTTACCCCAACACACTTTATTCTCACCAAGATGTGGATTAGATGTTTCTTTTCCCTAATACTGTTTTTGTAAGTGCTAATCAACATTTAAAGTTGCAGATTCCTTTGTAAAGCTGCTTTGTATACTTTGAATTCCAAATAACCGGTCTAGAGGTAACTTTGGCCACAAAATATTATTTGTGGGGTTTTGCTCTGTATATTTTTTAATCCATCGTATGTGCAGTATAAACTTGAGTACCTAATAAAATGAAAGTCACAATGTTTAAATAGCATCTCTCTCTAGGAGTTCAAATGTGTTGTGATCTATACAGTAATAAATTCTATATTGAATTCTTTTTAGCCCTGAGAATAGAATTATTGAACAAATTTCCAATGAGACATCAAGCCTTTAAGTGATAAATGTCTACTCTCAAATATTAAAAGTAAGTCAGGGGCGCCTGGGTGGCTCAGTGGGTTAAGCCACTGCCTTCGGCTCAGGTCATGATCTCGGGGTCCTGGGATCGAGTCCCGCATCAGGCTCTCTGCTCGGCAGGGAGTCTGCTTCCCTCTCTCTCTCTCTCTCTCTCTGCCTGCCTCTCCGTCTACTTGTGATCTCTCTCTGTCAAATAAATAAATAAAATCTTAAAAAAAAATTTTTTTTTTTTAAAGTAAGTCAGGCAGTATAGCAAAAACCTCAGTGATTGTAAGTATATTCTTTTGTGGCCATTCACTACTGACAAGAGCTTTACCCAAAAATGTACTACCTGCCAAGTATACTTTAATATTTGTTACATGATGGGTGTCTGGGTGGCTCAGTTGGTATGCCTCTGCCTTCAGCTCAGGTGTTGATCCCAGGGTCCTAGGATGGAGCTCCACAGCCCCATGTCAGACTCCCTACTCAGCAGGAAGCCTGCTTCTCTCTCTTCCACTCCCCCAGCTTGTGTTCCCTCTTTCGCTGTGTCTCTGTCAAATAAATAAAATCTTCTAAAAAATATTTTTTACATGAGTATATTTATTTTTATTGAAATATAATTGACTTTTCACATTTTATTAGTTCCAGGTACATAATATAATGAGTCAATATTTGTATATATTGTGAAATAATCACCACAATAATTTGAGTTAACATCCATTACCACACATAATTACAAACTGTTTTTCTTGTGATGAGAGCTTTTAAGATCTATCTTCTTAGCAACTTTTCAAATATAAAATACAGTATTATTAACTATCATCAATATGCTGTCCAAAACATCCCCAGGATACATTTACTTTCATGAACATATTTAAAAACAAAAAGAACAAAGCTCTCATGTAACTGACTAAAACTCTTGTAATGAATTTGATGCTCAAATATATGGCCCTGCTAACTCTTTAAACTCTTAGCATCAAATATATAGCCTATAATAAATGTTAATGAATTCAAAGACTGATAATTGAGAACTGCCTTATATATTTAAAAACAGCTTTTGTAGAATTTGCTTGTTTAATGAAATTATAGCTTATTTCTGAGATTTCCATAGCATTCTAATGAAGCATGTAAGAGTCTAACGTGTGTTTTCATAAGTGATTGGCAGAAGTTATTTCATTCTACCTTTGTAGAGATGAAGTTCATGTTTCTGTACCTATAATTTTAGGTAATTGGAATTTATAGGTGTCAAATTATAACAATTTTCCTGTCATTTTGTTATATTTCTATTAATAGAATGATTTGATTCCACTAAACAAGGAGTTGTGGATCATCTTAAAGATATTTTCTTACAAATTATTGATAAAAAATATCAAATAGGATTACCAGATCTATTAAATAGATAAAACAATTAAAATACTTATAGTAGCCCTGGTTTGCAAGGGTGTAGAGCAATAGCAGTCTTAAACACTGCTTTTAGGGTAAAAAAATAATACATATATTGTGAACACCTTGAAATGTTCAAAACTATTGTAGTGGACATCTGAGTCCCATTCTTCCTTTTGTTCAAGAATCTAGACCTCCTCCCCCTACCCTCCCCCTACCCTCAACCCAAATGAATCAGCCCAACTCCAGGAAACAGCTCAGATTAAGTCAACTCTGCTAGCCCCTTTCCCTTTACCAGTGATTTAAATCAGTAATGGGCCTGTTGGGTCACCTGGGTGCCTCAGTCTGTTGGGCGTCAGACTCTTGGTTTCAGCTCAGGTCTTGATCTCAGGGGTCATGGGATAGAGCCCCAGGTCAGGCTCCTGGCTCCATAGGGAGTCAGCTTGAGACTCTCTGCCCCTCCCCTGGCTTGTGCTTTCTGTTTTGCTCTCTGTCTCTCTCAAATAAATAAATCTTAGAAAGAAAGAGAGAGAAGGGAGGAAGGAAGGAAGGAAAGATAGATAGATAGATAGATAGATAAACAAACAAATGGGCCTATGACCCAATTCTCATCAAACAGTCTCCATGAGAAGGCTGCCAGAAGCTTCTGGGAAAGTTCTTTCTTATTAGTACATATATTTAGTGTTCATCACAATCTTGTTTAATGCTTAAAAGTTGGAAAAATCAAAATGTAAAATAAACTGATATACCAAATATCAAGGTTGTGCATCTTTTAAAGAAATGATGATATCGTTGCTTGGCAACTAATGTCCCAATGGATTGTTCTGTGAAAAAAAGCAAGTTAAAAACAATATTATAAATCCAAAAAATAAGTTTTCCAAGTAGCATTCTAAATATACATTCTGTTATTTGTGTCTATAGATGTATATTTTCTTAGGATACCAGAGTACCTCACAGAGTCAACAGAAGAGTTGAATAACCAAGCTTCAAGAAAGCAGGAAAACAGGACTTGAGAACTTCAGATATGGATTCTTTAACTATAATAATCATGGTGCGTCTCAGCCCTTTGAGTTTACCACTTAATGCAGGTTGGCTCTCTTCTTTTACAGTGTCTGCACATGGAAGGGCAGCAGTGGCTGACAGTCCAGATTTGTCAGCAAGAGGCAAAGAGGAGGACGCTGCTCCCAACCTCCAGTTAGAAAAATGCCAGGAAATAACTGTTCCGCACACTTAAGTTACACAGCAATCCTTTGACCAAATTGCTGAAGCTAGGAGATAGCAGGTACATGCCTCCTGACCAGTTGTGAGGATCAGGTAGGCAAGGCCACACATGATGAACTTCCCTTTCTAATTACATGCCTAGAACAGTAAAGGGGCACTTCTGCCCCAGAGGAAACAGACTGCTGGGCAGACAAAATAAACATCCCCAAATACACTTAAGTAAGGATCAGTTGACTGGGAAAACATTTTAAAAGTGAACAGTGAACCTTGTTCACCCTTTAAACATGTGATAAGTTGGGAGGTAAATACACGTATTTTGAAGAAGTTTCCTAGTTTACGGCAGGTATCCTAACCCAGGAAAATCCTCCTCTTCACTAATAAGATAATAATAATAATAATCCCATCCTAGGACCCTGGGATCAACACCTGAGCCGAAGAGCTTAGATCCACCATATAAAAATTTATAAATAAATAGCAGATAAGCTGAAAGCTTTTAGTCCACCGGAGTGGTTTTGTGTGTTAAACTATTTTGGTGTTAATATTTTGTTCTGCCCTCCAAACTTCATTTATCTAGATATCTACAAACATATGAGTTACGTAAATAGATATCTGAGCGAAAAACACGTTTTCTCATGATCTTGACAAGGAGCTTGGATGTCTGTTGTCTTCTCTTTTTTAAATGCGCTTGGGACTTCAGTAGACACATAAAAGAAGTCTCTCTACATTCAGTATTCCAGGGAAATAGGTACTTCTGATTTTGGAATAAAACACTGGAAGGAACGCTTCGAAGAGAAATAACAACATGCACGGAATCTAGACTCTCTTATCCATCTTTGTGCAGAGTGGACAAAACGACCTCCCGAAACCGCCGTCCTTGCTGTTCCTGTCTGTGTAAGCCTGTCACACGCTTCGCACCTGTGCGCCCTGCCTCTTAAAGTTGTTGTTTTCTTTGTTTGGTAAACTTTCCCAGCACGATTACTTATTGATTAAGCAGCTCCGGTTCCCAGTTCGTCTAATACATCCTGTGTGAGCGGTTTTTATTACCGAATGCTACCCACGTTCTGATAACAAGGAGAAGCCGTGTCCTCCCCGGTGAACTCACTCCCTTTCCCAGAAACATGGCGTGACTCCCCTCCCGGCTGGGGCTGTAAAAGTGGAAACCGGGTGCCGCCCTCCAGCACCTGCGCCTCCCGCCCCGCGGCGGCGGCGGCCAGCCAGGCAGGAGAGGGCCGCCACCAGCACGAAGTGCGTGCGGCCGCCGGCCGGCAGGTCACGCAACCCCGGCGGCGGCGGCCCCGCCCCCGCCGCCTGCTCTCGGCGCTTCCGTGCTCGTTCGGGGTTTCCTGGCGGGCACGGAGCCCGCCTTGCGTGCCGACCCGGCCGAGTAATCCCGCGCGGAATCTCGGATTCCGCCGGGCTCCTGACACACCGCGCCCTCCGCCGACTTCAGCTGAGAGGGTGATGCCCTCCACTTAACGTCAAAAAGTTTCCACCTTCGCGGCTGTAAAGCAAACACCGCGGGCGGCGGAGGGAGGGAGAAGGGGAACGCCGGCGACAAATCGGTCTCGCCCCGCGAACCCCTCTCGGTTTCTTTAGCAGGCGCGGCGCCTCCTCGGCGCCTGCCAAACCTGGCCTCTCGGTCGTGGGGGTCGTGGGCCACCGCCCGGGGGCCTCGCGCCCTGGCCGTCCTGCGCAGGAGGAACGCGGAGACCCGCCCCCGGCAGGGAGACCCGGGAAAGGGCCCCCACGGCGCCCCGGCTGCCGGGAAGCCGGCGCGGTCGGACGCCCGGGGCGCGCGGGAGGCGGGGTGCGTTGCCGGGCGACTGACCCCGGCGACCTGGCGTCTACTCCCGAACTCGGAGCGGGAGGCGGCTGTGCGTCAAGGGGCGGTGAGGGGCAGGGCCCGCTGAGGCCAAAGAGGGTGAAGGCCAGCCCTTGGGAGGTGAGGTTATTTGTTGACGTCCCGGGAGCTTTTGTTTGGTTTTGTTTTTGGTTTTGGTTTTTTTTGTTTGTGTTTTTTTGTTTGGTTTTGTTTTGTTTTTTGAAGGCAGGATGGTGGCGTTGTCGCCAGGGGTAGGGACTTGCTGCATCGCGGGCCTCAAAGCGGTCTGAAGGGCGCGTCCGCCCACCCGAAGGCTCAGGGGTGAGCGCGCCGACTGTCCCGGAGCCTCTCACGCTACGCCGCGTGCAAGCGAGGAAGCGCGTGTCGTGACGACAGGCGATGAGATCAGTTTGAATTACCACAGCGCCGTGGCTGGGGAGTGCAGCCTGTCACGCAGCCGCCGCCGGGCCCCGGCGCCGGCTCTGCCCTGGTGGCGGTGACTGCGGCCGCCCCGCGCGCGGGCTCCGGCAGAGGGAGCTGGGGGGTGAATCAGCCCCGTCCTGGCGGTCGCCAGGGGAGCGTCAGAACTATTCCCAGAGGCCGCAAAGGGCTGGGGAGCCCGAGAAGAAAACCGGACAAAATGCAACTTGCACAGTTAGGGGACTGGATTCTTTGAGCAGTCCGGCTGGCACACGGAAAATTACTTCTGTGAATCAGTGTCTTACACTGTGCCCAGTAGGTAACTGGCTAAAAACCACTGTAACGCGGAACGCAAGGGTCATTAAAATGTGCCTTTAATTTGTTTATAGTACTTCGTTTAACAGGCGGTGCACACGGCTTGCACATGCATGCATGAAATTTAATTTATACAGTCAAGTCTGGAGGCATGGTTTGGCAAGAGGAACAATTGCAAATTCAGTTAGGGTACAAACAGTAAGATTACTTAAAAGGACAAATGAACTGAAAAAAAAAAAATTCAGACCATGACACAAGGAAGCCATTACATTCAGCTTTTCATGGTCTTGAACATCTTGTACCAACTCAACTATAATACAC